TTTTTTTTTTTTGCAGTTTTTGGCTGGGGCTGGGTTTGAACCTGCCACCTCCGGCATATGAGGGCTGGCACCTTACTCCTTTGAGCCACAGGCACCGCCCCACATAGCTAACTCTTAATATTCAATTTGTTAATACATAAAGGGCTGAGGGCCAGGAGCAGGGGCTCCTACCATAATCCTAGGGAAGCCAAGGTAGGAGGATCCCTTGAGCTCAGGGCTTTGAGACCAGACTGAGCAAAAAATTAGTCAGGTTTTTTGGAGGGAGCCTATAGTCTAGCTACTCAGGGGGCAGAGGCCAGAGGATTGCTTGAGTCCAGGAGTTTGAGGTTGCTGAGTTAGCCTGACACCATGGGACTCTAGCCTAGAGCAACAGAGTGAGACTAGAGACTAGGTCTCAAAAAAAAAAAAAAAAAAAAAAAGGGCTCGGTGCCCATGTCTCAATCAGGAGGGCGCCAGCCACATACACCAAGGCTGGCGGGTTTGAGGCCAGTCCCGGCCTGCTAAACAACAATGTCAACAACAACAAAAAAATAGCTGGGCATTGTGGCGGGCACCTGTAGTCCCAGCTACTTGGGAGGCTGAGGCAAGAGAATGGCTTAAGCCCAAAAGTTTGAGGTTGCTGTGAGTTGTCATGCCATGGTACTCTACTTGAGGGCAACATAGTGAGACACTGTCTCAAAAAAAAAAAAAAAAGTTCATAGGAATGTAGAACTAGAAGTACTGAAATTTAAGTTGTATTCCTTTCAAATATTTCCATCTCAACTGGACTAGAACACTATCTGCTAAGCAAAATAATTAAAAATTAAGCTAAAAAATACAATAATTTATTTTAACCATTAATAATTCTTTTTATTTATTTATTTTTGATACAGAGTCTCAAGCTGTTGCCCTGGCATCACAGCTCACAGCAACCTCAAACTCCTGGGCTTAAGTGATTCTCTTGACTCAGCCTCCCAGTAGCTGGGACTACAGTCACCTGCCACAACACCCGGCTATTTTTTGTTGTGATTGTCATCGATATTTAGCAGGCCTGGGCCAGGTTCAAACCCTCCAATCTCAGTGGACACGGCTGGTGTGGTAACCATGGTGCTATAGGCACCTAGCACAATTAATAATTCTTATAGGAGGCTCGGCGCCTGTGGCTCAAGTGGCTAAGGCACCAGCCACATACACCTAAGGTGGTGGGTTCGAATCTAGCCCGGGCCCGCCAAACAACAATGACAGCTGCAACCAAAAAATAGCCAGGCGTTGCGGCGAGCACCTGTAGTCCCAGCTACTTGGGAGGCTGAGGCAGGAGACTCGCTTAAGCACAGGAGTTGGAGGTTGCTGTGAGCTGTGATGCCACAGCACTCTACCCAGGGGGACAGCTTGAGGCTCTGTCTCAAGAAAATAATAATACTAATAATTCTTATAGGAGAAAAGTTTCAAAGTTGTAAGAAATATAGAACTCTTAAGGAAAAAAAATCTTGAGGGGCTCTTCTACAAATGGAACTTTACCCTGGAAGTGAGAACAATGTTACCTAAATATTGACCCTCATATAAATTTGAATGAAGTTTAAAACAAAATCTTAATTCCCTTAGCATCTGAAGTTAGTAACTCTTCAAATGTTAAAATAGGCTGGGTATAGTGGCTCATGCCTGTCATCTTAGCACTCTAGTCAAGGCATGTGAATTGCTTGACCTCAGGAGCTCCAGACCAGCAACCTGAGCAAAAGTGAAGCCCATCTCTACTAAAAAGAAAAACAGAAAAACCAGCTGGGTGCTGTGGCCCCAGCTATTCAAAAGGCTGAGGCAAAAGAATCACGTGAACCCAAGAGTTTAGCTGTTAGCTAGGATGCAACAGCACTCTACTATTGACAACAAAGTGAGACTATCTAAAAAATAATAATAATAATAATACAACGTTAAGATTTATGATCAGGAGAATGGTAATTGAACATGAGAGAGAATGCTACTTTCTTGTATTTCTTGAATACAACTAGTTAATTAAAAAATACCTTTTTTAAAGACAAGGTCTCACTCTGTTGGCCTATCACAGCTCACTATAACCTCAAGCCCCTGGGCTCAAATGATTCTCCTGCCTTAGCCTCCTGAGTAGGTTGGGATTATAGGTGAGAATCATCATGCCCAGGTAAGTTTTTTTTTTTTTT